TGAATTCCAAGATCGCAAAACATAGAAGGTGGGAGTTAGTGGAGGGGAGAACAAAAGATGTTAGACCGGTGTTTTTACTGTTTTTTTCTTCTTCTATTTTTTTTTATTCTACTTTTGTTACTATTTTGAGCGTAAATTTGAAAAAAAATTCAGTGCTGTCTGGAAATAATGATGGATAATAATTATACGGGAATTTTTTTCCCCCTTAGTTCAAAAGTTATTTTTTAGATTCTCGAGAAATGTCTATTTATTTCCACAGTTATTCTTTTTAATAGAAGAAAATGTTTTGTGAAATATATAAAAACGAAACTGTTATTTTAAGATTGACATAAAAATATTATTTTAATCTTACTAGTTTCGATTTAACTTTGATTAAAAAAAAAAAAAAAAAAACTCTGTGCTAATATGAGAGAAACGTATACACCAAGAACAAATAAGAAATGCATAATTATAATTAATAATAAATGAATAACTATTCGCATTAAAATATATAAGGAATCAACAATAAAATTTAATAAATGTAAGGAATAAACAGTTCATATGAGAGAGAATTCTAAATATATATCGGGAATTTAATCTTATTAACTATTCTATATAAAATTTATTTATTTTATTTAATGAAGTAAAATTATTGGTTAAATTACATTTTTAATTTGTTTGAATATATTACTGAATTTAATGAATACTGAACACCTGCACGTGATGCTGTATAGGGGTTTGTAAATGTAGTAAAATAAATACAATAAAACATCGGATATCTTAAAACGAGTTACATTAAATAGCTCAAATCTAGAAAATATTTAACATTAAAAAATAAAACTTTCAAAATTATTAGAAAATCTAACCTTAATTTAAATTCATGCAATGTATGTATTTTTTTAATAAAAAAAAAGAAAGAAATGCATATTAGAAAAGTAAAGTTCATTCGTATGACATTCCTTTTAACCTAAAGATCAAAAAAAAAATTTTTTTTCCAGTTAATTAAATATAAGTTCAAATAAAAGAAAGAAAAATATAACTAGAATTATGCTAACAAAGCGACTGTTTATTGGATAACGAATAATTGCAAGTGATAAAGTAAATTATTATTCAGTTGCATACGTTAACCTTAAAATATATCATTTTTACCTCTTCGGAAAATGACAGTTATTTCATCAAATGAAAAGACGAACGAGATGGGTTTAGTAAAAATCAATATGACGTATCGATTTTTAAGGATTGCATTTACGTAAGTAATACGTAGCAGCTGAGGAATGGAATAAAACTATGCTATCTAGTAGTTAATTTATAATTATTAATATATAACATAAATTCATGATTAATAAAATATTTTTTTCCACAATGTTTTGTTTATATCTTTATACATTGACAGAATTGATTTTATTGACAACAAAAACCATTTTTATTAAACCCCCATAATTTTTATATATCCCCATTATTAGGGTGAAAAAAATGAATTTTATTAAAAACTAAAAACATATTTTTTTTCTTTTCTACCATTAGTATGAATTTTTTCAAACGATCGATACATGAGAACATTTAATAAATAATTTAACTTAGTTTAGTTCATTAAAAATTAGTAAGTAGACGGAACAACTAACTAACACCACATTGGAACTAATACCTAATGGTTTCACTTGTCAATTTACACTTGCTTAAATTTTCACTTGTTGTAGCACTAAAATAGTTTTCGCCGAAACTTAAATCACCGCATAGTGGGAAGACGATGGAATTTAAAATTTTAAAATCATCTGAAGTTATTAAAGNTGGTAGCAATACTCAGGTTATTCCAATTAACTTTTTGAATTATAATGATAATTATAAATGAGTTTGACCACCACTACATATAAATGATTATAATAAATATATGAAAGCATAATAATCCTTGCGCAAGCGAATTTCAACAGGATCAAAATATAAATATATTTTTGAGTCAGATTGTTTTTCGTTTATTGTTTTACAACCACTCTGAAAATCCTTTCTCGAAAAGAGTGAAAGTTGGCAGGTATGTAATGGTTTCACTTGTCAATTTACACTTGCTTAAATTTTCACTTGTTGTAGCACTAAAATAGTTTACGCCGAAACTTAAGTCACCGCATAGTGGGAAGAGGATGGAATTTAAAATTTTAAAATCATCTGAAGTTATCAAAGTTCTTTATTAATTAAATATTTACTAAAGTTTACTTATTTGTATTTTATTGGAACCACTATAACTTTTCTCTTCTTACACCCTCTCTCGCTTCCCCCCCCCAACAAAAAAAAACAAATATTCTTATTTACACTTATTTGTAAATTTGTTTTCTTCAAAATCAATGAAAATACATAGAAGTTTTTTGATTTATATAAATTACTTTTTAATAAAACTTAATACATCGAATTGCTTTAAGCAATTTAAAATTTATTTTTATCTAAAATATAATTATTTTACTCTTTATCAGCCACTATTCCGAGAAACATGAATAAAATATCACAAGTATGGTTTAAAAATATGAAACGTAAGGTTACATCGATAATTAATTTGGCAATTGACTATATGTTTTACTCTAGCACAATTACTTTTAAATAGGCTTCAATTTGTTAGTACTAGTATTGGAGCAGATTATAAAAATTTTCGTAAATAAAAAAAATTAAGATATTGATGCTAAAATTAGTATTTATATGTTTTACTACAATAAAGTTACTACATTAATCACTTTCCGCTTTCCTAAAAAACTGTGGGAAAATATATTCTGCGTTAAAATTGTACAAATAATTTCAAGACTGCCAGAGAGTCATTGTAGTGTCAGCTGAAATAGAACCAGGATAAAAATTTTATTAATTATTCGGAAAATAAAATATTAATATGAAAAAGTTACAATATTTTTATTCACTACTACTTTTCGGTTAGTTAATAAGCAACTCAAAATTAGACTTATAGCTGATTTAATTTCTGAAGTATTTAAATTCTCATTTAACAAAATGTTTTGTAGATGGCGCCACATTAGTATAGAGTTTCTGGTTTAATAGAGAAATTCCTTTGTTCTATGTCGTTTCAGTTAAAACTTCTATTTGTAGGGAATGGTGCTGCCATCTGTTGAGTTTTAATAGCAACTAAACTTCAGTCACTTACAATATCCTTCCCCATTATTTCAGATAAAATAAAAATCAAAACTTCTAAAAAATGAACAAATTAAAACATATGTAAATACGATTAATTTCAACATTAATAATGATGACAGCAAAAAATTTAAATAGAAGTGTTTTTTCCTCTTTCTATATTAACAAGAACCGGGCACTGTTTTTTTTTTGTACTGTACTTTACATTACATTTAGTTTTTCTGTGCAAAAACGATAAAATTTAGAAAACTTATAATTACAGTGTTAATGAAGTAAGCTTGATAAACAGAATAATTTTTCTTATAAAAAATTGTACTTTAACATTCAGAATGCTATTTTAAAGTATTAAACATTCAATTATAATAATCACTAAGGTGAGTAGAAAAATTTACAGGGAGTACGATGGAATAAAAATTTTTTATACTCTATTAAAATATTGTAATTAGTTCGAGCTTGTAAAAAATACAACGCCGGTCGCTGTGTAGCTCGTAAAAATGTAACTTCTTGGAATTAAGAATTTTTTTTCCCTCAAGCTTTTTAATTTTACACAATTTTGCGTTGCATTTTGTTTTGCTGGGTCAAAACTAAAAATTTGAAATTGCTATAGGGTGTAGATAAATGTACAGGAATCTACGAAGGAAAAAAAATTTAAAATTTAATTATTAAATCGAAAGTTATTTACTGTTAAATATATAGTAAAAAAAAGCATGCAGGTCTTATTTTTATTTATAACTTAACGCCTTAATGCGAGTTTAGCTCAAAGTTGTATTTTGTTCAAAAGACGTTTCACTTCTAAGCGATTTTTCTTTGTTGCATTAAATAATTACTCGTTATTCTTCGTACTCGAGACCCTTATTTTATAAGCACACCCTTGAGTTCGCATTTAAACATTAAAGGTAACAAAAAAAGGATGAGATGCTGCCCGATATAAATTTTTAACATTTATATTGAAACATTTAGAAAGGTAAAAAAAATAAAATAATTCAAAAAAGAGATTAAGAAAAAACATTTTCCTATTTGAACTGTCACTATAATTTATAGTTACATAACTGTTAAAAATTCCGTTCATGACTGAAATTACTTCTCATCAATTACTTTTTATTAAGTCAAACATTCTGTATTCCTGAGTTTAATGTTTTTTTCTTTCATGAACAGTTAAACATTTAATTCCATACAAAATATGTTTGAATTTTTAATTTTTACACCATTTTAAAGACTATAATTTTTCATACGTTCAAAATATAAAATTTGAACAAAAATGGTCTAATAGTTCCAAAGAAATCGAATTTTAAAGAAGTTTATTTCAAATTCGATTTCGCAGGAACTATTAGACCGATTTCGTTCAAATTTTGTGTTAAGGCATAAAAAATTACACTCTGTGAAATGAAGGAAAAATTTATATACCTAACAATTGAAAAATATTTTTGAGTATAATTTAAAAAAATAATAAAAAATTATAAAAAGTTATTGTTTGTATTGTTTTATAATTCTGTACAAATATTTTTCGATTCACTTAAAAAATTCTCGAGTTATGTCGGCAAAACACACAAAAGTAAAATTACATAAGGAGCCAAAACTTTCAAACGCTCTCCTGACCAAACTATTGGAGACATATATCCCAGATAGTGGCTCTAATTTAAAGGTCAGAAGCACTTTCAATTTATCATATTTTTAGATCATTATTTATTTGTAAATTATTTGGAATCAAAAAGTCCAATAAAATCAGCTTAGCTGATTTTATTTCAGCTTGACTAAGTAACATTTGACAAAAAATAGAAATCACATAGCAGACTGCAATTTGATTTTCTATTTTTGAAATGTGAATGTAAGTGCACTTAAAAGAAGACAATTTCATTAAAATTTTGAAGGGGGGGGGGAATCAAGAAATGTAAGGAGCCCCTTACCCGTGCTCGAGAGGCCTGCCATCTGGCATGGTGTGGGGCGGCATGGGATGAGGTGGTGGTGGTGGCCCCTGCGGGTGATGAGGTGGCATTTGTGCGGGCATGGGGCCGTGATGATGGTGGTGGATGGGGGGCCCTCCCTTCCAGCCGGGCGGCTCCTCCAGGGCGGGAGGTGGCTCTCGGGGGCCCGCCCCTCCTCCGCCGGGGAATGCGGTCCAGGTTCGGTTCACGGCTGCCGGGGCACGGGCCCTCCCCGGGAGGGTTCCCCTCCTTCTGGCGATGAGGGGTCTTCAGCCAGGCACTGTAAGACGCATCACTTGCAGGCGAAAACCTACACTGCTTCACCCTGCAAGAAAAAGAAGAAAAAAAATTGAATTTCAAATTCATTAAAGAGATACATAGGCAATTTAATTATAACTACAGAGATTTTTATTTGGTACACAAAATTACATTTATTTAGATATAAATTAAAAATATATATATTTTCGTCATTATATAATATTAAAAAAAATTTAAAAAATCCATCCAGCATAAGTAGCAATGCGACGTTCAGTAGAAGTGTAGAAGATTATCGAAAGATCACGCAAAAGAGAAAACAAAAATATTGAATGAACTAAAAGCATTATGAAAATTAGGTCGATATCCAGATTGTATTTTAAGTTTCGTCCCCCTCAAAACTTTTTTTTTATTTACATTCACAAGGAGTATTCTTTTATGTTTTTAAGAAGATTCANGCCCCTCCTCCGCCGGGGAATGCGGTCCAGGTTCGGTTCACGGCTGCCGGGGCACGGGCCCTCCCCGGGAGGGTTCCCCTCCTTCTGGCGATGAGGGGTCTTCAGCCAGGCACTGTAAGACGCATCACTTGCAGGCGAAAACCTACACTGCTTCACCCTGCAAGAAAAAGAAGAAAAAAAATTGAATTTCAAATTCATTAAAGAGATACATAGGCAATTTAATTATAACTACAGAGATTTTTATTTGGTACACAAAATTACATTTATTTAGATATAAATTAAAAATATATATATTTTCGTCATTATATAATATTAAAAAAAATTTAAAAAATGCATCCAGCATATCTAGCAATGCGACGTTTAGTAGAAGTGTAAAAGATTCTGTAGAAGTGTAGATCACGCAAAAGAGAAAACAAAAATATTGAATGAACTAAAAGCATTATGAAAATTAGGTCGATATCCAGATTGTATTTTAAGTTTCGTCCCCTTCAAAACTTTTTTTTTATTTACATTCACAAGAAGTATTCTTTTATGTTTTTAAGAAGATTTATTTATTTTTAAAATTGTTTGCAAACTTGAAGAATGACATTTTTACGTCCGTTTTCACGAAAAAACGAATCTGAACAGTATGCTACTAAGAAATTCATCAGTACATATTTCTTCTGAAGAGAATATTTCGTTTTCTAAACATTTTTAACACCTGGAATTATTTTAAAAACAGTTTTAATCTCATCTCCGTGATAGGAAACAGATAATTTATGAAAATAATATAGATCTTTCTTAGTATTAATTTTAAATAATACCTAGATCTTATCAAAAATGAATATGGCAATTCTCAAAATTAAAAAATCGTTAGCGCCGCTCTTTGTTTTGGATGTTCAACTTGACGTTACAATTTGTTTTGCTACGCTAAAAAGATAAAAACTATTTGAAATTTTGATGGCATGAAGAAAAAATGTACATAGAGTACGATGGAGTAAAAAAAATTTAACATTCGATATTTAATTCAAGAACTGTTAACTGTTAAACTTAGAGGAAAAAACACCACGCGGATAGTTCTACAGGCTGCAAAAAAAAACAAAAAAACAACTATAGTGAAAGGGCCATGTTTATTTATTAACTTCGGGAGTTTTTATGTTTTTTTTTTTCTTTACGTTAGAGTTTATATCAACACAATGTTACATCAAATCTATAAGATTTAGAAACTTGAAATTAAGAATGTGTGTTGAAAAATGGACAATATATTCAATGGAATTAAAAAATAACTTACATTAAACTTAGAGGGGGAAAAAAACATGTTGGCTGATTTACTGTCCGCTGAAATGCAACTAGCGTGTTGAATGTTGAAGATGTAGTTATTCCAGACTTTTTGAGAAAGAACTGTTTTTGTGAATTTAACAATAAAATGTTTTTTGATTGTGGTACTTGAATTCAGTATCTTTATCGCCTACTTTCGCACTCTTAATATTTTGTAAATAAATGTGATGATGCAGATTGTTGTGATTATGACACATTAAATGATTCAATAGTGATCGGAAATTTTAAAATTAGTGATCGGATTCAATGGTGATTGGGTGATAACAACTTCAAAACACGTGTTTTTATTAAGATTGGGGTCAATAGTGATCCGAAATTTTAAAATAAGTAGATTCAATGGTGATTTGGTGATAACCTTAAAATACGTATTTTTATTAGGATTGGGGGGAATAACAAATATCAGTGGTTTATGTAAACTTTTTGTCAATAGTTTGTCATAATGATGCCAGTAACTCTGATTTTCAAAAAAAAGTTTTGAACTTTTATTTGTAGTTTAAGCAGTAAAATAGTTTATGAAAGATCCATTTTAGCAATTAAAAAAAAAGAACAAAAAAATTATCAAAATTTTTCCTACCAAAAATTGTACTTGTTTGCCATCAATGTTTTTTTTCCTTATCAAAAACATATCTGTTTGATATTTTCAACAATGAACGAGGAATATATTAATTATGGAGTGAAAAAAATAAAACACAATTTCTTTCCTAATTGGATATTATTAATTTGAGCGTAAGCATTACTGCTTAATTCGCTGAATATATGAAGGCAAGAGCAAAGAAGGTAGGATAAAAGACTATGCAGCTATAAGGGGAACTATTTTGAGAAAAATTTTAGAGATAAGATTGATTCACTTTCTTATTTATTTATTTTTTGTTAAAGTTATTATTCTCAAAATTTGAATTTAAAAAAAAATAAAATAAATCATAGTTATGAAAATTTTTTATAAGTCCGAAAAGCATTTATTTTAGACAGGTTGTGCTGATGTCACAGGTGGTGACATAAGCGTGTCACGATTAGGACTAAGGTTGACAGGGGAGGGGAGTGCAAATAAAATATCTTGTGCATAGCTTAGCAAAAAGAAATAGTTTTCCAAGCATAAGTCTTGCATCCCTTACCTTATTCTAATTTTTATAGATAATTTTAGAGCAAACTTAATATTCGTAAAATGTTATTATCATCTAAAATATATTGAAATATAAAATTTAAAAAAAATACTATTTGGTAAATATTATTTTGATATATGGTATGACTAATGGTAAATATTATTTTGCACAATTAGTTTATAAATTGTGCAAAATTTAAGAAAAAAATTAACGCATTAATATTACTGAAAATATGAAATAATTTATTGTCAGTATATTGAATTATTTATTGTAAAGGTTTCTATTTCACCATTAGGATTTTTGTTAATGAGTCACCAAATGGTCGCAAAATCAATGTGTATTATTTTTGTTACTTGTAATTAGCTTAAAAAGTAAGAAATACATTTAAAAAAAATTATTTAGTAGTTTTTTAATTTTTTTTTTCTCCAAAAAAAATAAGTGTGATAAAAAAATAAGTGTGATATGATAGATCAGGGGTAAATGGAGGTTCCGTTTTCTCAGGTACGAGACAAAAAGTTTTAGAGAAAACTTTTCTACTTTTCAGAACTGCATTAATGGTGCTGCCATCTGTTGCTGATATATTTCAATAGAGTTAAAAGTCAACAATGATAATGAAATATTTGCTTTGGAAGAGCTTATTTTAAATTGTAATATATATTAGATTTAAAAGAGTTCTGGTTGAAAAAATTAAATGCCATAAAAAAAGTTTACGATTTTATTTTAAGATTGTAAGTATGGAAAACATTTACTATACTTAATTTAAACAATATCAATTAATATGCTCACAAAAGCATATTTATCTTACGTTTGTAAGAGCAATTTAAGGGTAACGTGAAAATAAAGCATAAGATAGAAAGGTTAAAAAAATATTAAAAAAAATTAGCAGGATTTTATTTTTTTCTTTATTTGATTAACAAGTGATTTCGATAATAAATAAACTTAAAATTCTTTTATTCGGAATTTTGAAAAGGATCAATTTATTCCATATCGTTGATGTTCAAAAAAAATTATCATTACTTGATTTGGTTTAAAAATATTGAAATGATTACTTTTGTAAAGTTGTTTTTAATTGGATACGTCAATAATGCTTTATCTTTATTGTCAAAATTTCTTTATCTTTATGGTAAATTTTAATAACTTTAATCGCTGTAAGTATCAGAGACAATTTCTATGCTTATTTAAATGGTCAGAAAATATTTGGATCTGTTAACTTAAAATTTCGCAACATTTTTTTTTTTTAATCGCTAACAGGAACCCATCTATCACAAAATATTTTTTTAAGCAAACGGACTGTGAATCCGACACAATATTTTTTTTAAAAAAAAACTCTTTGAAAAACTTTTTTTTGTTTTTTTAAATACAAAAATAGGATTTTATTCTCACAAAATAAGATTTTTCACAATTTCTCAAAAACGGACCTCTTTCACAATCAGTTTAGAACAGACCATTTGTGATCTTTCAAAAAATCAGGAACTTTTTTTCACAAATTAATAAAATTATTAATAGAATTTTAACAATTGCATGGATGTAAGTAGCGTCAGCTTAGATAAATCGTGACATTTGTCGATTCAGAAGCCAATCGGGTTCGACACACAAGCGCGGCGTCGCTTACAGGTATCCAATTAAATTTGATTTAAATCACATGGTTTGGTATAATCACTTCACTTCACTTCTTCTCGAGTTGTAAGCACCCAAATTCACAAAGAGTCTAGGATAACACTTGATTTAATATTATCCATTACATTAAATATTATTATTATTTTAGTTCGCTATTTTTCGAGCATAGTTACTGTCCTTACTCTTTTTCTCAGAGTACTTTCTATATTGTTTAGGTAGAAAATTACAGAAAAGAAATTGTTTGAGGCTATATAGTGATAAGCGACACTTTTCCAAATCATGGTGACAAACTATTTGTCAGCATTGTTTCTAGATAGGTACTTAGCAAATTCCCACTAAATGACTGCGCTATACACGTAAAGATGTTTCATGCTTACTTGTGAATCATAGTATTCATCAAAAACGTTCTTAAAAATTACTCTTCGGAACAATATGAAAATGTGGTTTATCATTATATTACCCCTAGCCCTTTATATGAATATATTTCGGGTTCATAGTACTCCTCAGATTTTAATTAAGTGTTTATTTCATGACTATAAATTTTTGGTCAATTATCATAATCATAAATGTTGGAGAAAATAAATTTT